GCTAATGAAACGTGATGCCCTATGCTAACCATCGTAAGCGATTAAATTAAAGGGAGAAAAATATGGGGTTGGAAGACATACACATTATTATAACACTTGATCCCTTACTCAGGAGGGTGTGAATTAATGTCCGAAAGTTTGAATTAAACTAACTATTACAAAACTGAATGAATGAATAAAATAGGCTAAGCTAATTAACTAGCTAATTAGGCTATCTAGGCTATTACAACAAGGATAGCCGAGATTATTACAACAATTACAAATAGACAATAATGAATAATTACAAGACTTAATAATTAACAAGACTAATTACAATAAACAAAATTAAATTAATTAATTACAATAATCATAATACTAGCGAGGATGCGCAAGAATTGCATACATGCACATGCACAGTGCTTAAGAACAACTCTGTCTGCCCCAAGCTTGCCTTGTTTCACCTTAGCCATTTCCCTCTGTCTGTGAAAAAAATACACTGCTGACCAAATTTTGAAGGCCGGCCCTCAATGAAGCCCGGGCGGGCATGGAGAAGGTCAGTCGTGCCTCAGTTTTGTGCAACTCTCTATTTTGTGCTCTAAAGTGAAATAAGTGCAGACAGAGTTGTTCAAGCTTTGTTTGTCCCTTTTTTCCTTCTCTGTCATAGGAGAGTCTCGAGAGAAGGTTGAAATTGATTCCAAAGCCATCATTGAGCAAATTGATTGCTTGATGATCTTGGATACAATTTTGGACAAAAATCAATGAAATGCAGTGAATATGACCACCCCTCCCTCTTATCGTGGAGTGAACTCAAAGAGGGTGGTAGAGACACTTCAAGAATCATCAAAACACCATAAATTAGATCATGATCAATCTTGACTCGATAAACTTGTCATAACGTCCGACCAAGTCTAAGCAAGATTACTCATTTTCTTTATGAGCGTTGATCCAATTTTAAACCAATTTGTTTAGTCATTGCCATTCATTAGTCTATTTGTCCATGGTGATGTTAAAGTCCGCTAAATAAGAACGTCAAACGAGAGGTTCTTCTAAAACGTGAGAGAGAAACTACACCGTTGACAATGATTCTCCGAAAAGATTAAGCCATTAAGTAAAAGTCTCTCTTACATGTTTTGAGCAACCTCAATCGGTTGAAATTATTCTCAAGAATGAAAGAGATAGATGATTAGATGATTTGTTAGAGTGAGACTCTTAACATGAAAAGTAAGTAAAGGAAAGCTTGGAACAACATGCAACAAGTTATGTATACCAATTCATGAGACAACAACCAAACTAAACAAAGCATGAACCAATTTAAAAGGCTAGGACAACCCTAGAAAGGCCCTTAATAAATGAAAAAAACAGAGACTAAAAATGCATGAAAAGAGCCTAAAAAGTTAAACAACAAAGAAAAGAAACAAAGCTAGTAAACAAAAACATGGAGGGGTGGCTAACCCCTTCACTTTTGAAACCTCAAAGCATGGTTTTTAACCTTTTTTAAACTTTGAAAATCAGTGTAGAGAACAAAGGAAAAGAGTAGAAAAGTAAGGGCTTGAGCTATAGGTAAAGATATAGAAATAGCAAACTCTCTCTACCTTTTTGGTAGCTTTTCAAACCCCAAACTTAAACACTTCAAATAGGATCAAAACAATAAAAAACAATAAGAATTATGTAGCAAATGAAAGAAATGAAAGCAAGAGAGAAGATAGCAAGCTTATACCTCTCAACGGGTAAACTTTTTGTTTGTGATCCAAACTAAGCTCCAACACACTCTTAAGCTTGAATTAGGTTTCGCAAAGATCAACTATAGCTCAAAGATGGTAAGACAAGGTTGTGTATGGTATATGGAGATGACACAAGGGAGGTAGGTTAACTCAAAGGTTGCTTGCTATGGAAGAAGGAGGAGCTATAGGTAAAGATATAGAAATAGCAAACTCTCTCTACCTTTTGGGTAGCTTTTCAAACCCCAAACTTAAACACTTCAAATAGGATCAAAACAATAAAAAACAATAAGAATTATGTAGCAAATGAAAGAAATGAAAGCAAGAGAGAAGATAGCAAGCTTATACCTCTCAACAGGTAAACTTTTTGTTTGTGATCCAAACTAAGCTCCAACACACTCTTAAGCTTGAATTAGGTTTCGCAAAGATCAACTATAGCTCTAAGATGGTAAGACAAGGTTGTGTATGGTATATGGAGATGACACAAGGGAGGTAGGTTAACTCAAAGGTTGCTTGCTATGGATGAAGGAGGGAGGAGGAGCTCTCAAGGTGTATATAAGCTTTCTAGAATTTTTGTCAACCTCCAAAACAGAAGCTGGACCTTGTTTTTATAGAATTTGAGCTCAAAAGGTGATAAATATCTTCAAAAATGGACAGCTGGCAGGCTCCCGGCCAGAACAGTGTTTATCGTTATCGACGCCCAGCTGGCCCTCAATAGCCACAGTCGGCCCTCATTGAGGCACAATCAGGCCTCAATGACCTCTCCTATTTTTTCTGGTGCAACCTCAACACAAGGTGGCACAAGGTATAAAAAGAGATTTATTGGGTATGATCAATGGCAATATGGAAGGTTTGAGGTTGTTTCGAAGCTTAAACAAGACTTCTTTGTTGAGACCTTAAATCATGCATAATACCACTTTCATCATCGAGTGTTCCGAGTAAAGCGCTTGAGCGTTACAGACAGTCAAAAATGAGGTGTCTACATGCACCTAATGACTTGTACTCATCTTGATATAGCTTATGTTGTCAATAAATTTAGGTACACTAGTAATCCCGGAGAAGACCATTGGAAAGTGATCATTCGGGTTCTTAGATATCTAAGATTTACCCGTGATCATGGTTTGAACTTTACTCGATATCCTGCAGTACTAGAATGTTATTGTGATGCCAATTGGATATCGGATATTAAAGATTCAAAATCCACTAGTGGATATGACTTTACTCTAGGAGGCGCTGTTGTTTCTTGGAAATCGACGAAACAAATATGCATCGCAAAATCCACAATGGAATCTGAGTTCATTGCTTTAGACAAAGCAGAAGAAGAAGCAGAATGGCTTCACCACTTCTTAGAAGACATTCCAATGTGACCAAAACATGTGCCAGCTATTTGCACTGTAAGAAAATAGTGATTTAGAGACTAATATTTAGAGACTAATTGAATTTAGTCTTTAAAAGCCATCATTTAGGGACAAAAATAAATTTTAAAAGAAAATTATAAGAATACACCATATTTCTTTATGATAGGCCAAAAAAAATTTATTTAGTGACTTTTAGGGACCAAAAAAATTAACGCGTATGTTCACTTAGACACTTGACCCGCGTGTTTGAGGTGGGTAAAAGATGGAGACGAATTAGTTTGGTTACTAAAGGTTGTCAAATACGCGATATAAGAATCGATCTTCACTATGACATAATCGATCTCAGTTGTTTCCTTTGTCTAGGACTCAATCGATCTTCAACTTCGATAGATCTTTAGCTTCAGTCTGAATCGATCTTTGTGCCGCCTCATATCTGAATCGATCTTTACTTCAATTCGAATCCATTTTTGTACTGATCTCAACTTCAATCGATCTTACCTATTGTAACTTTAATCCGAATCGATTCAGATCTCAGTTATTGATCTTAGCTTCAATCCGAATCGATCATTGAAGATCTGAGTTCTTTGACTTCAATCGGAAGGTAAATCAATGATTTTCATGGCTGCTAAGATCTTGATCTTGATGCACAACTTTATGATATTTTCTATCATTTTTTTTTAGCTTCACACATACACACACATACTGTGGAGAAGTGGTTCTGGAAATACTCTTCAGATCCTGGGAGACGCTAGTGATCCTCAGCTAGTCACCTGAAAAGACACAAACACTCCGGTCGGGGGTGCCGGAATTAGCACTCCGACAGACAAGTTAGTTCAGACATTCAGAATAGCTTGTCTACTAAGTTTTTGTGAAGTGATTCTTACATACCTTTCTAGATCTGTGGTTCTTGTATTTATACTTGCTTTTTGGGCCTCGGGACTTGAGCCTACTTTTATCCCATTCCCCTTTTATTCATTCGGAGCCACTGACCTCCGTCTATTCGGCTTTCCTAACGTATTCGGCATCCTAGTTACGCAACATGAAGCCGAATAGTATCTAATTTCTGGGGTACGCATATTCCGACTGTTCTACTTATTCGGCTCCCACACATACATATTTATATACACATATTCTGAGATCTTGTATAATTTATTCTTCATCTTCTTCAATTTTTTTTGTAGATATATATAAGTTTGAGTAAATGGATTTGGTTTCTAACAAAGATCGTAGTAATTTGGATTCAATAGTGATTTGGTGTGTTTTCAATCTCTCTCTCTCTCTCTCTCTCTCTCTCTCTCTCTCTCTCCACAGACACAGCATATATATATGTACATCATCATTCTTCTAGTTTAAAGTGAGCGATAGGAAAGCAGCTACATCATCATTCTTTTAGTCCATGGACCACAATGAGTTGAAGTTTGATTCTCCCTTGTAAGCTGGAAGAAAGCAGTTAAGCCACATGTAGTGATTAAGTAATAGCATAGTATTATCTCAACTGTTTTCATGGGGTGAGTTTATTCAGCCTATCTATATGCCAGGTTTTGTTGAGTAAGAAGGGAACATCTATTAGATAGTGTCGAATCATTTTATGACGTGAAAATGCATAATTGCACATTATTGAATAGGGTAGAAATCAGATTTCAGGTCCTTAGTGATATCCCCTCTTCATCACATAAACTGTTTGGTGCAAATTGTTTTATATATAAATATATAGGTTGATATGCTGATTAATTATTATGCAAACCCTTGTGTAATGCTCTGTACATGTTTGTTTATTTTTATTCTTTAGCTTACTGGTTTTTTACTCCATCATTTCTCAACACACACATACAGATATAGATTTTTAGTATTAGCTTACTGGTTTTTTACTCTGTCAATTCTCGATCTATAATAATATTTGCACTAGAATGTCTTCTTTTTAATCATAGAGAAGTGATACCTTTACCAGTCTATCTTCCATTCATATTTTGTAAGCATGCTGACCATTGGAGATGTCCAAATTTTTAGTATTAGTTGAAATCCGTGAATGGTTATGACTTCAAATGACAGCCCTTGGAGGGGAGGGGGAAGTCTAACCCCAATGGTTATCTACTGTATTATTTCAATTCAAATCCTCTCTGCCCCTAGATCTCACGCTGCTGCAATAAGGATTGTAGGAGAATTACGTGCCCTGTTCTCTGTACACTTTTTATCTGGCAGCGCTTGAAAGTCAACCCAATTTTGTATATTGTAGGTATGTGTGGAGGTACAAGATTTAATTATTCTTTCTCCGGTATTTATTTCCTTCATATGAGTTGATATTTCAATTTTGCAATTGCAGGTTTATTACCGATTTCTGTCCAGTAGCTGAAATGGAGCTTTGGACCCTGTGAGATTACTGATAAATGATTGAGAAGGTATGTATAGGAAAGAAAATATTATGCCATTTTTGTTCGTTTTTGTTCAAATTATCAACCTAAAAACCAAAAATAGTGATTAGTTCGTTTTTGTTTGAATTATCAATTTTCTTTGAAAGGCAAGGTTGGTTTTCTGTTTTTGGTTGTTTTGTTTCTAGATCTGAACACGACTTCATTACTTTTCTGATGTTTGTTTTTGTGTTCTTACTCTTGTTTTTTCTTGCATTGATTACCAGTTCGAATTTAGACTCAACAAAGTTTTACTTCTCTTGAAGATCACTGCTTGATTTTTTTTACTAATTTTAAGTGTTTCAAATTGATCTTATCGTTTCATCGTCTTGACTGATTCAGATGGCTTCGACAATGCTCTCTCTTGCCTCAGCTTCAAAGTTCATTAGTGTATAAGAGTTAGTATGTGAGATTTAGTAGTTGATATATATGCTAACTTGAGTTTTGACTTGTAGAAATGGGCTCTCAACCCAAACAAAACAGATTTCTTTTCTCGAAACCTTGCCTGAAGACACACTAATCTCTAGAGAAGAGAAGGCATTTCGATTTTGGATGAACAGCCTTGGAAATTCAACATATATTGACAATGTCTTCGAAGATCTTCGAAATGGGTGAGTATCCTCCTGTTTAAAAGATAGAGCACAACTTCACCCCTATAAGTGGTACACTTCTGTACACTAACTTTACTAACAAATCTAACTTCCTAAAATGTTGACCAAAAAAAAAAAAAAAAAAAAAAGCC